AAACCCATCTTCAAGAGCATTCCTTCAAGAAAAGCCCACTCGACACGATCATAAGCTTTGCTCATATCAAGCTTGAGAGCAAAATGACCATGTTTTTCAGTTCGATTATTTCGAAGATGATGAAGAATCTCATATGCCACTATAACATTGTCTGTAATAAGTCGATTAGGGACAAACGCACTCTGGGCAATATCAATGCATTGTGAGAGAACCTTCTGAAATCTGTTGTCCACCATTTTAGAAACCATCTTAAATAGTACATTACACATACTAATAGATCTGAAATGAGACATATTAGTGGGAGAGTCCACCTTCAGTATAAGTACTATGAGTGTATGATTGATAGCTTCCAAGGGATAATCTCCTCTAATTAAGGCAATACAATAATTCAAACTATCATACCCTATCACATGCCAGATTTTTATTATTATAAAAAACAACTCTTAAACCGTCTTCACCTGGAGCTTTCAATGGGCTCATCGATTGCACTGCTGTCCATACTTCATCATTAGTAAAACTCTAATCAGCTCATTGTTCATATCGGCTGTGATACACCTGTCTATGCCTGCATAAATTCTGTCTATATCTACCACCCCTTGAGATTGGAATAAGGTAGAAAAATAGTCTTGTGCCAAAGCTTAAAGATCATCAATATCCTCAATGGATTCGCCTTGCCCATTATGTAGTATGGATATCTTATTCCGGCGTTTACGCTCAGATGCATAGCGATGGAAAAAGAACGTATTTCTATCCCCATGTTGTAACCAGTTTGGGCGCACACTTTGCTCCTAGTACAGTTATTCTCTATCTATTTCGAGATCCAAAGCCACTTCAGTTTCCAACACTCACCTAAGAAGTCATCTGTTGGGTTCAATTCACAAGTCGATGCCAACACTAACCTGGTTGAGACGATCTGGAATTTCCCCAACTGATTTTTCCCATAAAGACTTCACTTCTGATTCACACGTGTCCTCTAGAAGCCAAACTGCTTCAAAACGAAACTGCCACTTTTTATTGTGAGGGTTCGAATTAAATATCGTGTCCAACAACAATGGGCAGTGATCCCAAAAAGAATAAGGTAAGTGAGAGTATTTCTTTCTCCCAAGTAAACCAAGCGCCATGATAGCCAATATCATCTAAGCCACAATCCTCCGGGACATGACGAAAGCCAATCATTTGCCGCTCATTTCTCGCTAATCCACCTTTTTTCTCGAAGGAATACAATATCTCATTAAAATCCCCTATCACCAACCAGGGAATCCCCGAACTTACATTTAATTGGCGAAATAAATTCCAGGCATCACTGCAATAGCGTTCTTCAGGAGCACCATAGAAGCCAGCACACCTGCAACTATTACCATCAGAGTCATTGGAGATTAAAACATCGATGTCTTTCGGAGAAAGATTGCAAAGAGACTTGACAATTAGATTTCCATGCCATTGAAATACCACCACCACTGCCATTTGAACTTACGTCTATTCCATTCGGACATCCATAAAAATTTCTCACCTTCGTCATCCTGTTATTATTTAAACGTGTTTCAATGAGGAACACCACCAAGGGATTATAGTCTCTCAGCGTACGCTAGAAAAAGGTGAATTAAAATGTGAAATTAGCACAACGCAGTGTACTGTACTGAAAAAGAGGCTTAATACAAAAATAAGTAAATAAACTTTACCTTGAAAAATATATTAGTGACTAAAGAAATTTTGGTTAAAAAAAATATTTAACGTTTTCATCGGAGATTTTTAGGTGGTTGGACCGTAACGGCCTTTAAATTTGACCGTTAAGTGGCAAGTGGCACGTTATAGTAATTTTAAGAATTTATTTTAAAAAAATTTAAAAATATATATTTTTATTTTCTTTTTAAAAAAATAGCCCCGCACGTGATTGTTCATCCCCACCTTCCCCTTCCCCATTTCCCTTTCCCTTTCCATAGTCATCGATCGGCCAGCTGTGATCGTCACCCCCAAACAAATCCCTGTTGACCTTTCGTCGTAAACTGCCATTGTTTGCCGTGGAAAAACGTTTAAAGATTTGTCGGGTTTTAAGCCACTGTCATTGTTTCTCGTTGATTCTGGCCGATCCCGATGTCCATAAGCCACATCGCCACCACCATTCAAACCACCGTACATTAACCCAAGTGGTCGGCGACGAGGGTGGCCGAAGATGGCCGGTGACGAGGGTGGCCGAAGATGGCCGACGACGGTTGGTAATGGGGTTTAAAATGAGATATTTTAGTTTTTAAGTTTTTTTTATAATTTCATTTAATATTTGGGGGTTTTATAAATAAATTAAGATTTTTTAATTTTTTAAAAATAATATTTTTATTATTAAAATAATATTTTTCAATAATTAATAGATATAACGGTAGACACCTAAAAATATAACTGAGAAAATGTTAGACACCTATTTTTAGTAAAAATTATTTTAGACACTAAAATATTTTTCGAAGAAAAGTTTAGGTACTTATTTATGTATTAGGCCAAAAAGAAAAAATATGACACATTGTGAACAAATAGTTTAACAGACAATAATGAGTCATTTAGCGGCCCTACTGATCTCAAAGACATCTTTCCAACGCGCTGCTCTTCTAAGCTATTACTTTAGAATCCCATTAACATCAAAAGCAGATCGACCGCGGTTGATTAACAATCTCCACACTCCTCCTTTTTTGTGGAAATCAAAAAAGTCTGTTTTGTTTATATATATGATTATTATTTCATGTATCGACAGTGAAAAGAATTCACAAGCCAAGTCCAAAACTTTGGCCGTAGACTTATCATCTAGGAGAATTTTTTTGCCTTCACGTCACGGTGAATAATAGCATGCTTAACTTGTGTAAGGTGGTTCAATCCAACTGCAGCTCCCTTGCAAATCTCAATCCTTTGCTTCCATAGGCAAAGCTGATACATAAAATCGTACACTATAATCATCTCTCTTTTCTCATTCAAGTATACCCAATTAAGGACACCAAATGAACATGGCGGAGCTGAGACAACATCTCATTCTCTTGTCACCGACATCTCCATCAAACCTTTGTAGACTTTCCCAAACTCGCCTGAAACTACTAAATCACCAAGGAAGTTGGTAGTGGTAGCTTTGATTTCATCATGTGAAAATGATCTGTTTGATCTTGTATGAAAAGTTTATAATGCAACTTGTTTTGTAAATAAATCAAATTCTTAGTAGTTGATTAAGAATAGAAAATTCAGTTCGGTAAATTTCTTACATTTGCTTGTAATCAAGTTATTTTTCATGTAAACATATATTATGAATTATGTTAGAAGTAAGTCGATTTCCATAATTCTCTGGTATTCTCCTTATTTTCGAAATTAGAAAAAAAAAAATTCTGCATGTGGTTTTTCATATGTAGTTATGTAGGGACGATCATTTCCTAAAATTTTTAAATTTGAATATATTTAAGATATCATTTTTTTTTTGTATTTTCTATTGAAATTATGTTTTCATCCACCTAAAATTTTATAAACTTATATTCCCTTCAAATTTTATAAATTCGTCCTCTAATATAAAATCTTGCGTTCATCATTGATATTTCCTAGCAAAGAGTTTTCACGTAAAATTTTGGTATCTCATTTCTATGAAATTATAATCCATATCACAAATGTAGGATTTGGCCGGGGATGTCTAAGAAAAGGCAACCTAACATAAGGTTAAGAAAATGCGTTACCGGAAATGTTAATATTTTTTTAACATTTCCAGCAGAGCGCTACCTAAAATGTTATTTTTTACTGAAAATATTAATATTGGATGCTACCTAAAATGTTATTTTTTATACCGAAAATATTCATTTTAGGTAACTAAATTAACATTTATGGTATAAAAACAACATTTTAGGTAGCACTCTACCGGATATTAACATTTTCGGTTGTGTCTTTCCTTATCCTTATATTAGGTTGTCGTACAACAAAACTACCCGATTTGACCAAGAAAGTTGTGTCCAATTTTTCATCAAGTCCCAAGTTTGATTATTCCCCTCAACACCATTCTTTTACTTACTTATCCTTCGTTAAATTAAAATTTAATTAACAAAATTAAAAGACCAATGATTAGATTAAAATCTTCTAATTAAGTGATCATGAAATAATAAATTATAATAAAATTAAAAATTAAGATTATAAGTGCAAAATGATAATTTATGATTACAAGTCTAATAAGCGTTATAATAATAAGGAAAAAAAATGATTATACGTAGGATGAAATTAAAAACTTATAATATATTAATGCATAATAGAATGTAAACATAAAAAATAAAAAGTAAAAAAGCATCAACCTTAATCTTAACATTAAATCAAAGTTATTGTAAATCATGTAGAAATTTGTAATTTGTCTAAATTATTTAATTAAAATTTAATTTTATAATCATTAATCTCTAGAGCAGATGATTATGAAACTCACGATTAGTATTTTCTTTCTCTTAAATTATAAATTCAATATTCTAAATAAAATTCGACTTCTTTTTCCCTACATATAAATTGTCTAAAAAAATTATGATTATAAAATTCGACTTCTTTTTCCCTACGTATATATTGTCTAAAAAAATTATGATTATGAGCTTAATAAGCGTTACAGTGAGAAGTGAAGAAATGGTAAAAGGACATTCCGTCTATAAAAGGTTCACCTGCTCAATATTACAAGATATGTTGTACTCGCCAGCCTTGCACTTTTTTACAATTTGGGTATAGAGATAATTTAGTCATTTTCATTACCACAATTCAACGATTTTATACGTGGCATTCCCATGAAGCGAGTACGATGACGAAACAGACAGCTGAGAAGCTTAATCAGAAAACGTTTATTTTTTTCCGCTTAATAACATTTAGAGACATAAATCATAATAAGCTTTCCCTCGCTTTCTTGAATTTCAAAATTCAAAAAACGAGCTAACAACTCTCCTTCATTCCTCAACATTTCTCTGTTAAATCAGCGATTGTTAATTCTTCAAGAAAAATCCAAAGACCAAAAATCAATAAACCAAATGGTGTGCGGTTTTTTGAATCGAGAGTTAGGGACAATCACTAGATCAGTGGTGAGATTTCTTGATCAGACGGTGTGCAGAGCCATGGGATGTTTCTTCCAATGCCTTGGCGTCAGAAACGATCGTCCCCGCCCTCACCTCGTCTCTACCTTTTCGAAATCCACCGTACGTAACTTTCCTTTTCCAGTTTTCTCGTACCTGTGTTTGATTTCTCGGAAAATTCAGTTCAAGAAACATTTTCTTTCCCTGTCTTTTAATATTTTTCTTTTCGCTGGTCAGGATGGTGCAGTTTCTCGAGATCGATTATCATCTGTCTTTATTGAAGATGGTAAGCATATCCGTACAGAATCTATCTAAGCTTATTAGTCGAGTTAGTTAATTTCAGTATTCCTTTTCTTTTCTTAAACTTAATTTTAGATTGTTTAAAATCGAATCATTATTTACTTTTGTTTTGGTTCTAAAAGAGAAAGGAGATACTTCATCCAACGATTTGGAGTCTCCACAAATTGGTAAAGGTCTCAAGGATGAGGTATGTTCTTCTAGCAATTTGATTTAGATAGGTTGCTTTGTACGTTCAATGCTAATTGAAATTCTAATTATTTAGCTTCCCGTAGGCAAAATTCCTCAAAGCTTGTGGCACAATACAAGAGACTCCAGTTGAAATTCGCAAAGCATCTCAGAAGTTTAAACAGTCCCCTCCTTCTGGTGGAGATTCCGAGACTTCTAAATTTCGTTCCTGGCTTCCAAACACATCTATTGACAAGTTTCAGTTGGATAAACAATCTGATCAGCCACCCACTCCGAATAAAGTTTTCGAGGCTTTGGAGAGGTCAGATTCTCCGGAGAACACTCCAAGCAGGTTATCAGTTTTAACTTCTGACCTTAAAAATTTTAATCAAGTAATCAAAACATTGAATTGGATTCTCATTGAACTTAGAATTGTTTGCGGATGATAGTATTCATTTTAAAATTTACTGAACTACCGCCATCTGCGATTTTTATTGTGTGAACTTGTGATACATCTTCACGGTAATTTTATGGCTGCCTGACAATTGGCTGCTGTTATTTATTTTCTAGCTGTATATCGACTGCAGCAAACACTGGGATGCCCTCCATGTGTTCTACTGAAAGTAGTGAGGCGATGACTGCTGATAAAACAGTCAATATCGATGCCTTTTCAAGTTCAGTTTATGGAAGGAACAAGTCTGTGCGGTTTGAATGTGAATCTGATGCTTCTTCTTCTAAATCTGAAAATCCTGAGAAGCTTGAACTATTGGGTTATCTAAGTGCATCAAAGTACTCGCCAAACCCAACCCCGTTAAAGCTTTCTGATGAAATGCAAACCCCAGGAACTGTTTTTCCCTCAAACATGAAAACTTTGGCAAATGGGAAGACTCGGATCCGGTCTGAATACGTTCATTCGGTTTTCAATCCAGTTGGAAATGCCTCTCTGTTGAATGCAATGAAGGAAGAAGAGCCATTTAGCTCCAAAGAGATGTTCGATGAGCTGAAAGAATCTCCTCAACGAATAGAAAGTGCCATCCCAAGGCTAGAAGTGGGAGTAAAACAATCTTCTCTCGTGAAAGATTCAGAGGTTGAAGAAGGCTTGTCTTCTTGGCTGAAGCCAAAACATAATGCCGTTGTCGATCCTAATAAGAATCTTCATGTCACATTCAGCAAAACCCCTCATATTAGTAAAACCCCAGGGGATAGACCCATCATTGGTTTGGTGGCTGCTCACTGGAAAGAGGATGAGTCTTCCCGCATCTCACCCAAATGGTGGGATGGCAATGGAAACCCAAATTCAACTACTAAATACAAGGAGGTAAATGTTTTTTTCCTGGCTGCATTTTCTATGCTGTATGGACCTATGTTTGAGTTTGATAGATCCTTGTCCTATTTGCAGGACCAGAAAGTGAGTTGGCATGCAACCCCATTTGAAGAGAGGCTAGAAAAGGCTTTGTCAGACGAGACTTTCATCTCTCAGAGGTATGTTTTTTTTTTGCTTGCTAAATTCATTGCCTATGATTAGTATGTTACCTCAAAAGCTCTTGCTAACAAATTACCTAGCGTGGGTTAGTAGCAAGAAGCACAATTTTGCATAAATTTTATGCACTTGCAATACTTTCTGTAACTCAAAACTAATATCAGCTCTCTTTTGTTTTCTATGTCCTAAATATCTTTCTTTTCTTTTTTTTTGGGGGGGGGGGGCGGGGCAGAGTTGATTTTAGTATCCATTTACAAAAATGTAAAGGATATTCACAATGATTGACATGAATCGAAAAGGTTCCTGTTAGTTTACTGGGTAAAATAATACATCTACTTTGCTTTGACAACTTTTTTTAAAAAAAGGGAACAAACATCATCCTAAATTGCTAGACAGATTGCTGAGGTCTCAGGCAAGAAGCTAATTAATTAAATTCACGGCTCCTGCACTAATCTTTGTTTGAACGCCAAGAGAGGGTGTGAGAGTGAGAGTAACATTAGGTGGGATTGTCTGCATCGTTGACCCCTTGGTTTGCTAATGTATTTCTGCATGATACATTCGGATATAACTCGAACATACGGAAGAACTATAAAAGTTGAACATACTCGCGTTAGATACCCATGTTCAACTCTTACATTCCAAGTAACATTGTTCAAGTAGATGATGAAGGGTTATTTCAGTTCTGATTATAATGTTTAGAAACTCTACAATGTCCTTTGTAATATGATCGCTCATTCAGACGAAGTTGAAGTTGAAATTGTCTTATTAACCGTTAATTCCGTTTCAACATTACATCAAAACTAATTCTGATTCCTGGTTTTAATTACAGGAAGCAGGTTGACAAACCACGGATACATCTTGATGAGGATGATGAAAGTGACACAGCTCTGTCTCAGCTGCGACCTTCCTCACATTCCAAGTCAGTCGTTTCGTTCTGACCAGAGCTTAATTAGCTTATCCTTGAAATCTCAGGTTTACACATTTGATGAAACACAGATGTATTTGAGTCCTTTAAAACCTGAACCAATGGTATAAAATCAAGAATATCATGGCTGATTTGGCTTGAGCCACTCAGTTGAGCTTCTTCCTTGAGAAATCATGCTGTTTTTAAAGGGTCATATTGTCAGGAAAATAAACCGAGTACAAGTAATTTCCCTATAACCAGATTAGTGAGAATGCGAAATAAAAGCGGAAAAATAATACCCGAAAATTGATAACGGAGTTCAGCCAATTGTGCTTACGTCTCCGGGCTGCTGCAGATCTTTTACTAAGAGAGAAAATTTACAGGTGTTTACAAAACACTCACTACTCACAAGAAAGCTCTCTAGTATAGGAAGAAAGAAATGTTTTGGGATGATTTTGAAGCTAAATGGGTAAGGGTATTTATAGTAGAAACTTAGGGACTAATCTTTGAAAATACCCTAAAGTGCAATGACTAAAGTGAATTTACCCATTTCTATTTTCAACAAACATCTACCAAAATTTTACCAAACTTTGAAAAACATTTTTCAAAGAAACATTTACCAAACTTTGAAGACTGATTTTAATATGTCTTCACACCTCGATCAATGCAACAGCATGTCTGGTCTTGTTATTCTAGCATGCCAACTGAAGCTGAACACAACTTCAGTTTGTCCGTAGTCACCGTCTTTGTCAACATGTCTGCCGGATTTTGAGCTCCACTAATCTTTTCAAGTTTCAAAATCCCATCTTCCAGAAGAGACCGGATAAAATGATATCTCAATTGTATGTGCTTTGTCCTGGAATGAAAAGACGGATTCTTTGCTAGATGGATAGCACTTTGACTGTCGCAATACAAGATATTGTTTTCTTGTTTCTTGCCTAACTCTTCCAAGAAACTTTGGAGCCAAACCATCTCCTTGCTGGCTTCCGTAACAGCGACATATTCTGCTTCAGTTGTGGAGAGAGCAACTATCTTCTGTAGTTGAGAAACTCAACTCACTGCAGTTCCTCCTAGAGTATAGACATACCCTGTAGTGCTCCTTCTGATGTCGACATTTCCGGCTAAGTCAGCATCTACATAGCCTGTCAGTATCATATCTCCACCTTTGAAACAAAGTGCTTTGTTTGTGGTACCCCGAAGATATCTGAGGATCCATTTGACTGCTTCCCAGTGTACCTTGCCCGGATTATTCATATACCTGCTAACAGCTCCCACTGCATGAGCAATATCTGGTCTGGTACAAACCATGGCATACATCAGACTTCCAATTGCTGAGGCATACGGCACCTTCACCATGTGTGCACGTTCTTCCTCCGTCTTTGGTGATTGGTCTTTGGAGAGTCTGAAATGAACACCTAAAGGTGTACTTACTGGTTTAGCATCTTGCATGTTGAACCTGGAGAGTACTTTGTTGATGTACTCAGCCTGTGATAACATCAAAGTCCCCGACTTTGTGTCTCTCTTGATCCTCATCCCAAGAATCTGCTTTACAGCGCCCAGATCCTTCATAGCAAACTGCTTCGACAATTTTTGCTTCAAGTGTATAATCTCTTGCATGTCTGAGCCTGCAACGAGCATGTCATCAACGTACAATAATAAAATAATGAAGCTGTTGTCGAACCTCTTGATGTAGCAACAATGATCTGCTTGGCATCTGATAAAACCACTGCTACTCATGAAGCTATCGAACTTCTTGTACCACTGTCTAGGAGCTTGTTTTAAACCATACAAGCTCTTCTTCAACCTGCATACCAGGTTTTTCTTGTCTGCCTCTATGAAGCCTTCTGGCTGCCTCATATAGATTTCTTCCTCCAAATCACCATGAAGGAAAGCTGTCTTTACATCTAACTGCTCAAGATGTAAATTCTCTGCAGCTACAATTTTCAACACCAGTCTGATTGTAGACAATTTTACGACTGGAGAGAAAATTTCATTGTAGTCAATACCTTCTTTTTGCTGAAAGCCTTTGACAACCAATCTTGCTTTGTAGCGTTTGCTCCCATCGTGCTCTTCTTTGATCCTGTAAATCCACTTGTTGTGGAGCGCTTTCTTGCCTGGTGGTAATTCAGCTAATTCCCATGTCTGATTTGACATAAGCGAGTCCATCTCATCTTTCATGGAAGACTCCCACTTGACTGAATCCTCCACTTGCATTGCTTCATCATAGCACTCTGGTTCACCATTGTCAGTCAGCAACAAGTAGTGTAAAGAAGGAGAATACCGTTGGGTTGGTTTAGGAATTCTGGAGGAGCGTCTCAGTTCTGGTGTGCCTGGTTCTTCTTGAACTGCTTCAGGATTGATCTGAACATCATTTCCAGAAATCTCCTCGAACTCAGCAAATTCCTTTGTTTCAGCTTCGGTATTACTTGATTCTGCGGTTGATCTATCTTTGTACATCACATTTTCATTGAAAATGACGTCTCTGCTTCTGATGATCTTCCGATTTTCATAGTCCCAAAACCGGTAACCGAACTCATCACCGCCATAACCAACAAAGGCACATTTGTTGGACTTAGCATCAAGCTTACTTCTTTCAGCAGAGTCTATGTGTACATAAGAAATACAACCAAACACTCTTAAGTGTGAAAGGTTTATTTCTTTCTTGCTCCAAACTTCCTCTGGTATTCTGCCATCCAAAGGAACTGAGGGCCCACGGTTGATCAAGTAAGCTGCAGTGTTGATTGCTTCAGCCCATAGAAATTTGGGCAAGCCGGCATGTATCCTCATACTTCTGGCACGTTCATTCAGAGTTCTGTTCATGCGCTCTGCTACACCATTATGTTGCGGTGTCTTGGGAACTGTTGTCTCCATCTTGATCCCATTGTTTGCGCAGAAATCTCTGAATCTACTGTCTATGTACTCTCCTCCATTGTCAGACCTCAACCGCTTGATTTTCAAACCAGTCTCATTTTCCACCATGGCCTTCCATTTTCTGAAGATATCGAAGACTTCTGATTTCTTCTTCAGAAAATAAACCCACACATTCCTTGTTGAATCATCGATGAAGGTGACATAATATAGTGAGCCTGCAAGAGATGGAACTGGGGATGGTCCCCATACATCAGTATGAACCAATTCTAACCTTTCTGCCTTGGGTGTCTTGCCAATCTTTGCAAAACTGACTTTCTTTTGTTTGCCAAAGATGCAATCCTCGCATAGTCCGACATCTACATTTTTTAGATCCGGCAGCTTCCCTTTTGACAAAAGTGTCTTCATCCCTTTCTCGCTCATATGGCCAAGCCTTTGGTGCCATAGGTTTGATTTTCCATCAGCATCTGCTACTGCAATGATATTCTCTAAATTTGAGGTTACATAGAGAGTACCAGTCTTCTTACCACGAGCAATGACGAGTGCTCCTTTGGTAATCTTCCATTCACAGCCTGAAAAGGTTGTGCTATATCCTTCTCCATCAAGCTGTCCAACAGAAATCAGATTTCTTTTGAGGCCAGGAATATGTCTCACTCCTGTCAGCTTCCAGGTGGTCTGGTTTGGCAACTTTAGTCGGATGTCTCCTTTTCCGACGATCTTTAAGGTTTCATCATCAGCAAGATGAACCTTCCCAAAATCACCACTGACATAGTTCTCCATGATTTATCGACATGGGTGGAGTGGAAAGATGCCCCTGAATCCAAGATCCATGATTCAATCGGACTGTTGACGCTTAAAATCATGGCATCACCTGTCTCCTCCGTCATGTTGGCAGATTCCTGTGTGCCGGTATTTTTCTTCGGTGCTCGGCAATCTCTTTTGAAGTGACCCTTTTTGCCGCAATTATAACAGGTAAAATCTTTATTTCCTGTTCTTGATTTGCCCCTTCTAGATTTTGATCTGCCACGATTTGAATTTCTTTCTGAAGTTCTCCCTCTAGACTCCGTGTGTAAGGCTGAGGAGGTTGATGCTTCACCCGATTCTCTTCGTCGAATTTCTTCACTCAATACCAGATCCCGAACATCGTCGAATTTTAATTTGCTGTTTCCCGACGAACTGCTGACTGCTGTAACAGTAGCATTCCAACTGTCTGGTAGAGATGATAAGAGAATTAAAGCTCGAACTTCATCATCGAACTCAATTTCCACTGAACTCAACTGGGTTGTGATTGTGTTGAGTTCATTTAGGTGTTGTGCCACCGATGCCCCTTCCGCCATCCGCAAATTGAATAATCGCCTCATCAAATGAACTTTGTTTGAGGCCGATGGCTTCTCGTACATACTGGAGAGAGCCGCCATAAGACCCGCCGTGGTCTTTTCCTTTGCTATGTTAAAAGCAACATTGCGGGATAACGTCAGTCGGATAACTCCGAGGGCTTGTCTGTCGAGAAGAGCCCAATCTTCATCCTTCATGCCCTCTGGTTGCTTTCCTGAGAGAGGTTGATATAGATTTTTCTGGTACAAAAAATCTTCAATCTGCATCTTCCAAAAGCCAAAGTCCGCACCATCGAACTTTTCAATTTTCACCTTCCCTTCGTCTGCAGCCATCGCTCCCACTCGAATCTGGCTTCGTTTGGATCGTTTCTGACAATTCTTGCGAATCACCGTGTATTAGAACACCACCGTCGACAAACTCATATCGCCGACCGAATTTCACTATTCACGAAATTCACTATTCACGTGAATAGTAATGAATAGTAACCTCGCAGAAAATTTGACAAAATTCACAACCAAAAGCTCTGATACCAGTTGTCAGGAAAATAAACCGAGTACAAGTAATTTCCCTATAACCAGATTAGTGAGAATGCGAAATAAAAGCGGAAAAATAATACCCGAAAATTGATAACGGAGTTCAGCCAATTGTGCTTACGTCTCCGGGCTGCTGCAGATCTTTTACTAAGAGAGAAAATTTACAGGTGTTTACAAAACACTCACTACTCACAAGAAAGCTCTCTAGTATAGGAAGAAAGAAATGTTTTGGGATGATTTTGAAGCTAAATGGGTAAGGGTATTTATAGTAGAAACTTAGGGACTAATCTTTGAAAATACCCTAAAGTGCAATGACTAAAGTGAATTTACCCATTCCTATTTTCAACAAACATCTACCAAAATTTTACCAAACTTTGAAAAACATTTTTCAAAGAAACATTTACCAAACTTTGAAAAAACATTTTCCAAAGTTGGTTGCCAAACTTTGAAACTTTTAACACTACTTCATTGGCTTTGTTTAGAAACTTACCCCTTTCCAAGTCTACTTGGCTTTATTAGAATTACTCTTACTATCCTTAAAATTCCAAAACCAAAGTGGATTTTGTCATGGATAATGATGAATAAATGATAGCAAAACATGAAAAGGAAAATAAGAATACATCCATCCATGAGAAAATTATATGATAATACACCGAACCCTATACCTTAGATATATATCCCGAGGATCTTCGCTTTCACCTCATATCTTCGTTCTCCTAATATATTTCTTCATAAATTATATTGTACCGTAAACTTCTCAACTCTGATTGATAGCAGATTTTAGATTATCTCCTAAAGATTTCAAATTCTAAGAGCCTTATAACTATTAATGTAAAAAAGAGTTGAATTTAAATTTTCAAATCTCTATTTCTCAATATATATTTTCCTTTGAGAGCTTTACATAAAACAATTTGACTTTTTTTAACTTACTCGAAATATTCATAATATAAGCGAATAAAATATAAATATGTGAATTGGATTAAAGAGATTGAATTCGCCACAAACAATTGGATTTGCAGAAAATGTAGATCCTACAAACATTAGGACCTTCCATTTATAGTAATGCCCTTAAAAATAAGGGTAGCAGGCTTAAGCGGTCATTTCACCATTCATACTTAAAACTGACCATGGAATCCTAGAATGGGAAACATGTATATTTTTCTCAATGCTGGTGGAAAGACTGAAAGACTGCCCCCTGCTCGTGCTGGTTATCGATTGGGGGGCTCACAAAAGATATATCATGGGCTGCTTTCCTCAGCCTCAGGGGCTATCTCTCTTACATCAGTTAATTTTACCTTCAGAGACGAACATAGAACTTTAAATTAAGGGATAAACTTGTAAAGTTTTAAGAGATTAAAGATTAAGATAAATTACTAATAAAAAATATAAATATATATAATATATGATAATTTAAAATTTTTAGATAACCATTACTCCTATCCACCCCTCATTTACATACCAGTTTGCCTCTGTTGTCTGAATACCACCCCATTCACCATCATCTACTGGTTGGATGTTAACTTGATCCGCTGCCACGTGGACTGTGCTTTCACCGGGTACCCAGGCTGTTCTCGAAACACCGAGACAAGCTTTGGCTACGTTATCTGACAAGTCGATGTCCTTTGTATCTGGTGGACTATTACTAGTACTTGAGGATTCTGTATTTTCCTCTAAAATTTGCTTGTTTCACTCTGTTTTCTGCGAGGAGACAATATCAAAAATGGTTACAATGGTTATGAAAAATAGAAATTTAAAGTTTAAATATTAAATATTAGAGTCAAAAATATATATCAAACAAAATAATATATATCAGTTTGAACCCTCATTAATGTATAGCTTAAGCATGCTAATTGCATTTCATTTCGTCATATGAGCTAGCTTATTTTTACCTTGTGTTATTTTGTCCGTTAAACTTTTCTTACGTTTTAGTTGCTTCAATAAGTGATTGGAGATTTACACTTGATTATGCTCGACTTATACTCATCATTCCTAAGACGAAAATACCGAGTTATGTCTGACATACATATTTAGGTGTTTCTTCATTTCTTTGTGGATGGATACAGCCATAGGATCGTTTAAGCTGCCTGAGTGGCGAGCTCACACGTGCACCATTGTTGTTTTAAAGAAACCGATGTCCTTTGTATCTAAGATGCCGTTGTATCGCTGTACCGGTATTTTCTCACAGTACATGTTTGAGGTTGCAGATTTTTGAGAAAAACCCTACCAAGATAAAGAACTATGGCATTTGGCTGCGATATCAAAGTCGAACAGGTTATCACAATATGTACAAGGAATACAGAGACACGACTCTCAATGGTGCGGTAGAACAGATGTACACTGAGATGGCATCTCGTCACAGGGTGAGGTTTCCTTGTATCCAAATCATCAAGACAGCTACCATCCCAGCAAAACTTTGCAAGAGGGACAACACGAAGCAGTTCCACAACTCGAAGATCAAATTCCCATTGGTAGTCAAGAAGGTCAGGCCACCAACCAGGAAGCTTAAGACGACTTACAAGGCAACTAGACCCAACTTGTTCATGTAGTTGTTATCTCCATGATCGGTAAGCCTAAAGACTTTTTAGTTTTGATTGCTTCCCTTGTTAGATTGGAGGAGTGATCAAATTTTCAACACTTTCTGTTTACTTGTACATTTGTTTTATGTTTTGAAGATAGTTTTTTGACGAGCTTAATTTAAATTTGGTGATAAATGGTGAATTACAATTTATAATATTTGCAATATCTAGTTGGTGAGTGGCATGAGTGATGATTCTGGTTTCTGCTATGAATGGTGCTCTTGCAGTTTATGTTATGATTTTTTTCCTAATTTTAAGGAAATGAAAATAAAGGGTAAAAATATTTTCTCATATTTGGATTGATTATCCATTGTTTTTCTTTAATCCCAAGTTAGGATTAGAATAATTGAGGGGAAAAATAAGATATATAACTAGTATTTCTTTTACGGATTCAAATAATATTCTAGTTCGAGTATTATAATTAATATTCGTTACGGATTCCAAATGAGAACCATTCTAGGGAAGATAAACACCGGAACAAGCCTTGAATCTGACCCGTAAGCTTCAAATTGAAATCATAGCATCGGGTCCAATAGTTCAAAAACAATGTAAACTGAAGCAATCTCATTGGAAAACAGAGACTACCTGCAAAACTGAGACAACTTCATTGTCTTTTACGCTCTAACCTTGAATCTCGACTCAGCATAGACTCATTATAAGTATGCGAACAACAAGACTTGCTTTCCACGGATAAACAAGCGAAAGAATATACACAACAATAACCGAAACTTCATAATCATTTGCATTAACAACGATGACAACAATAATGGGATCAGGTAATATAAGGACTATGAAACGCCTTGGAAAGACAATCGGTCCCGAAGAGTGTCAAAAAGTGAGGAGGCTGCTGCATTTTGTTGAAATGTTAGTTTTAATCTCCCCAGTAATTCCCCATCTTTGGCTTGAGAAGCTGCATCAGCAGCTTCTTTCGCCATCCCAATCCGAGCATATGCCTGTTTAGAACCATAGATAAATCTTGAGCAAGAGTATAAAAGATACGATCTTATTACATCTATTCTGACAATAAATGAGCCCACTTGCATCGAATGGATTAGCAATCGAGCAAAAATTCAGAACTAATAATTCCCCGTTGAAGGAGGGAGAACTCAGAGATCAAACTAGACATGCACTGTTACCTCGGCCCTTTCTCGGAGGTCAGCAAGCTTGGGGATATATTTTAGAGCTTCACCTTTCTCATCAGCATCAACGCATGCCTCAACAAATGGCCTATATCCTGTTTCATGTAAACAAATATTTTTACTTTCCCATCTTCTACGGTTTTTCCTTTGCCTAATTCTTCTGTCCCAGCCAAACCGACAATAAGGATACAAAAATTGAGAAGAGCATAAACCTTGAGAAAATCCTATCCGAATCACTTCAAATAGTGATGTTCATTTAGAACCTAAGCTTTGGTAATATCATCAGGTAACAAAGATCACACGGAAACAACAGAATTATTATATGTTTCATAATAGCAGGTAGCTGAGATCACTTGCAGATAATGCTCGATTATGTCATCTATCTCACTCCCTGTAATTGAAACAAGAATGTTGATAGCTTACCAATCGGCGGTCTCTTCTCTTTTGAGAACTTCTCAAGAGCTTCCCAATCTCTAATTGTAGCCAAAGCAAAAACTTTAAGCCAATACCACCTCTTCTCAGAAACCTGAGACAAGCAAAAAGGCAAAAATGTGATTCAATAGGTAATTAGAACAATCTGAAAGCAAGATGCCCAAGCTGTCAGATATGAACCTTGAATTCATTCTTCACTTTCATTGCGGCACGAGGGTTCCCTAGAACAATACATGTACGTATAGTATCACTGATACTTGAATCAACAAATATGGCCTGCTTTGTGCTTACCTCCAACTCGTGTTGTATTCTGCAACATTCAGAAGTATTTGAAAAAGTACATCAGTACTATATTAGTAGAAAACTCACTTTATAATAAAATTAAAAAGAATATTGAAAGAAACAAAATTAAATATATTTGCTTATAATGGTTGGAATCCGGGACAAGCAATAATCTCCAATCTTGTCATAGAATTTTCTTGTTCTAATATAGTCTAAATCTTGCTTTTGAAGAATGAAGACTCCATCTCTAGCTTCTTTTATTGTCCTACTTGTCCGGTATTGGATTTTTTAAAATATTTTTTTGGGGGTTGGAGGTAAAGATATAACATCACTTCATTCTTCCTCTCATATTAAGCATAATAAACCAACAGAAATGTGAGAACCAACCATCCGGACTCTGAAAAGCAGGAAACAAATAATTTGAGTTCTAACCCATCTTAAGAATTACATTAAAAAACAATTGGCAGTTGACAACAGGCTTATATAAATCTATAATCATATATTTTGTTCAAAAACAAACTTCATACTTTCCATCAAACATACTTTTTTCATATACTTGAAGAGATGAAAAAAGAGAAAAGCAATTAGCAAAAGCAAGAACAAATGGCACCTAAACAAATAAAATTAATCTATAGCATTCAGATGTATTTCCCTAATTGAATTTCTACAATTAAGACATGATCATGAATCATAAAAGTAATTACCTGAATCAATTGAAGAAAGGAAAGAAAAATAACGAACTAACAGTTATACTCCAACAGAACTCCCTTGAAATTAATATCCGTCACCAATATCCGCCCATCATGTGTAAAAATGGCCAAATATTTGCCATCCCAAGAAACGACCATTTTCTGAACCGGACCCTGAACTGCCTCCCCTTCCACTCTTTGAACTCCATCTTCATCCACAATCAAAACACCATCACCAATCCCGACCAACACTTCCACATTCCCCGAAACCGTGTATTTTGGCTCGATAATTGCCATGCAATTGGGCAAATCGTCCGCCCCCGTCTCCGCCAGCTTGCACGGATTCATCACCTTAAAATCAGGGATGGAAAACAACAACCCCCCTTCCGTCAAGCACACAACGCCATTGCCCCAAAACACGCATTCCACCACATTCTGCTCGAAACACTCTTTCCCCAGCGTTACGTTGGGTTCGATCAGCTCGGCGTGGATGTTGTAGCGGTAAACGGTGCCGTCCTGGACGATGCAGATTAGGGTTTGGTCTTCGGTCCAGGACATGCCGATCAATCGCCCGCCGGGGTTTTTCCATACGGTGTCAGAGATCAGTACGCCGGAGGAAGTGAAGATGCGAAGTTTCCGGACAGCTGATTCGGAATAGAGTTGGACGATCTTAGAATCGTCGCGGATCACGGCGATCGGACCACCGAATGGAGAACAGTCGACCTTGTTGCGGGATAAGTCAATGTTCTTCCATCTCATAGTGTAGAGCTCGGGCCTACGGTAGTAGCGGTTGTAGAGGAGCTGCCATTCTGCAGCCACCGAAACATTAGCCATTTGTGTATTGTGAGAGAAATTAAGAGAAAAATAGGAGAATTATTAGAAATAGAGAAGCCAGAGAGTATGACGTGAGATCGGGGATGGCAGCTATTTGATAATTTGGTTTTTCTTTTTCGTATTTTTCTGAACTTTCTGTATCGAAAATAATTAATTCGATTAAATTCCAATGTTTATTTGAAGCTGAATTTGAATTAGATAATCTCCCTAACCATTATAATTTTTCAAATGATTTTTTTTTGGAAAATATTAATAAATAAATATTTAATATTTTTATTTTTAAATATTTAAATAACATATTAATAAATGTATAACTTTTTAATACTTAATTTTATATTTTTATATAAAATTTGAATTATTTAAGTTTAATTTTATAAATCTAAATATATTCGAACACATATCCTTATATATTATAATAATTATTTAAAAATAATTAGAGAGTTCCAATCAAATGAAAACAACCCTAATGCACTTGATTATGCTTCAAAGACAATTCGTCAAATGGAGAAAGGAGGAGAATCATCGAATAAATGAACAAATCTACTAATTTCAGAATTAACTACTTTAATTATGCGTTGGATTTATGAGTATTTTGCCCAAAACTTTCTAAATCTTGAAGTGAAATGTATGAATTATGATGATCTTCTTCCAGTTTCATGATTATGGGGATTGGCTGATCCCCACAACTCTTGGAAAATAGTTATCATTGGGTCATGTGTGATGCCCAAATTAAATACACCAAGTGAGTAATAATGTTACTCAAATCGTATCGAAAATTAACATATTCATATTTGAAATAAATTTAAAATTTTACACAATCATATTTACATTTAGATTTAATTTAATTAGATTGATGCTGTTATTTTCATAATATACAATAATATATAAAATTAAATGTACTTAACCTCCTATAAAATAATAATCATACTTAAAACACACATCTTCATTCTAAATCCGAATAATATACATCTTGTAATTAGGAATGATAATTTAATTTGAATCTGATAGATTTTGAATTATTTAACTTAATAGGGTTATTCAAAAAATCAACTTTGGGTCCAGTCAGGTTTTTATAATGGATGAGGTCAAATTGGGTCGAGTTCGAGTTTAGAATGTAATTACTCTACTCGAAATAATAGTATAATTTTCTTCTATATATTTAGAGACAATTATTATAATACTCTCCTCTCTCTATTTTTTTCAATTAGATCTTGCCAAATTAAAATAAGAAATTGTTTTATATTTGGGTCGTGTTTTTATTTAAAAATTAAAGTCGAGTTTCAGATTGAATGTGACATTCCTAAATATTGGTTGGCTTGGATTCCAGTGGAGGGAATATATTTTTTAGATCTGATTCAATTAACCAAAAATCCAACAACCCAATTTATTGTAATCCATGTTTATAAAAAAAAAATAAACAATCTTATTTGCCTAAAAGTATGAGAATCTTCAACCCTATACGCAAAATGGGAAGAAGATTGAAGGGTACACAGATAGAAAACTGATAAAACAAGATTCAATCAGCAGGTACTTAAACACTTATCCGATGGGCAGATTACCAACAATACTGATAATAGATCCAAATGATTATCATGAGGGACCTCAAGGAATTCCAGCGCACTGTTCGATGATGTAAACAAGGACCACAGATCCCCACCACAACCTAAAAGTTATGTTTCTTCTTTACATCGTTATCTGCTTTTGGAAGCATCCATGGGAACAAAACCAGCTTCGCTCATAATTTCCTTATGCAGAAATACGAGTAATTAAGCTTTTTCAAACATAAAAGCATTAATATAGAATATAAAACGAAATACATATATAATAAGCTATTATGGTGGAATGAGAGAGTAATGGGAAGCAAATGATTGTGTGTTACATACTCTCTTCTGAATGTCTTCTTCTTCTTCTTCTCTATCTAAAATCCATCCTCACCTTTTAGCTCAGAAATTCCACTTTCTGCAACACTCCGAAAAGCTATCCTAGAAGTGAACCCCACATGGTTATCAATCTGTTTAATATTCCATGCAATATATACACAAACGGATTGTAGTTAAAGATATCACTATATGGCATGTGAAAGCTACACATCAGCTTTATCGAATATATATAATCTTCTTTTCCATTATTTATGTATGAGGCAAAGAAAGTAAAGGGTGGGTCTATTATAAGAGACGAATATTTCAGCTCCATTTCTCTTTCACTAATAAGAACAACAACGATGCTACTTCTAAATGGGAAACTGGTTCATTTCGTCATGTTTGTATGTCTTATGAGCATACTCGGGCCACCGGTCGTCGGCTCGTCGGCTCAACAACATGTCAAGCCGCCCGTTGGACTTGGCAAACTTGCAGATAAAAAGGGAAACATTCACAAGGTAAGGGATTGATGTGTTTCTTGACTTATCACATTGTTTTCTGATTACAAAGCAAGAAGATTGAGTGTCTTTTGTTTCTGGCTTCTGGTTTGTTTTTTCAATAGGTGGATCATAAACTGATGTTCGAGGTTAAACTACATGGATTCCTCCTGTGGGCATCAATGGGGTTTTTTATGCCTGTTGCGATACTTGCTATTCGAATGTCAAATATGCAAGAATGTGGAAGAAGGCTTAAGATTCTTTTCTATGTTCATGTAGTTTCACAGGCGAGTTCATCTTTACTGCTGCTGTACCAATAAAATCCAAATGAATATAATAGTCTGCAGATATATATATTATTATGAATGCTTGAGAAGCAAGAAAAGGGCAATTGTTTTTTATACACAGAATCTTCAACCAGATGTATTGTAAATGATTACTGTGAGATCAGTAAGGTATCTTAAGACTCAAGTCAAGAAGGTCACATTAAACTAATAGTTTAGAGAAGAATTAATTCAATTCTGATATTTACTAAGACATGATTCTTAAAGTATCTGTTTCATGCATTTAACTGTTGATTTTTGTTCAGCAGATTCTTTCTCTACTTCTCGCAACAGCTGGGGCAGTCATGTCTGTCAAAAACTTTAATGATTCCTTCAACAATCATCATCAAAGACTAGGGTTAGCTTTATATGGTACCATATGGTTGCAGGCATTGACTGGGGTTCTTCGTCCTTCAAGGTAAACAACCGTAACCCTTTTTTGGGATTAAACTTTCGAGATAATTAGTTATTCGATTCAACCGGATACCTAGGGGTGTAAATGAATGGAAATTCAATGAATTGTTTGTGAACCCTTCTCATACCAAATGTTTAATAAGCTAATAAACAAGCATGAAAAAAATATGTATATCCATTTAATAACAAGCAAACATGAACAAATGTGTGTTCGGTTCATTTATGTTCACGAACAAGTTCTTTATTGACTCGTTTGTAAGCTCATTTATCCGATTTCCTTTTTCTTTTTACATTTAAATATTAGTGAAGATAAGACTAAATTGAACACATGATGAACTTTGGAGTTCAAATTGTGAAGCCTAAGGAGCTAAAATACTAGTGGCATAATTTAATCATTTATGAACATATAAACGACCATGTTAGCGGGCAATAAATAAATGAACACAAACAACTTCAGAAATAAAAAACGAACATGATATTAAAATTTTAAAAGAATACGAACTGTACATAATCACTTTTAAAAGTAAACAAACAAACATAGATTCATTTACATCTGTATGGGTACCTTATTAAGTTTGAATATGTAGAAATTGTAGATATTTAACCAGTTGTCATTTCTAAAATGGATGTAGAGGAGATGTTCATGACATTGTAGAACATATTGAGCATAAAACTTTGTCTACAGGGGATCAAAAGGAAGAAGTGGATGGTTTTCTGCAGACTGGTTACTGGGAACTGCAGTGTCAATTTAGGTATAATCAACATTTACACTGGATTGGTAGCATATCATGAAAAGACTTCAGGAGCATAAGCTTTGGATCATACTTTGACAGCTGAGATCTCTCTGATTGCTTTCGTTTACTTGTCTCAAGACAATGGTTGTACATGCAAAGGCAAGGAGTTATTCTGGAGATGAATCAGTAACAGTCAAACAACAGGATATTTCATCCACAGAAGCCAAAGAATCCAGTAGTGACAATTGTTGAAAAATATTTGGTTTCATTATTAAGCCATGTTTAAATTTGAAAACTCATATTGTGAATGCTCTTTGGTCTCATCTGATCTAATACATCAATTGTATATCACTTTCTTCATATCTTGTCTTTCTGTTTCTGTGTTTTAAATCCGCTCTTGAACATAGTATTCGAGAAATAATATGTAAATGTGAATTTAGAAAGTAGATGAAAATTTCAAGATATAAAATATTTGCATGCGTTTTTTTCTGGAAAGGCTGTGACTCCCCAGCTAGAGGAGTACGTGGCTGGAGCCAGATTTGTTCACTGAAATCAGAGGGGGCCTGGGACTTAGGGACCTAGTTCTTTGAATAAAGCCTGCTGTTTACTGCTTATTAAAAATATTTTGGCTAACAATGGCTCTCTTTGGATTGCATGGTTGCACGAGTACTGTTTTAAAAATGAGAATTTCTGGGATGTTGACTGCAAAAGCCACTTCAGCTGGATTATGAAGAAGTTGCTGGGGCTAGAGAAGAGGCAAGGGTTGTTTTCTCCTGGTACAGACTGGTACCACATTAAAGGCAGATGGATTTGGGACAACATTAGAGTCAGTAGGGAGATGGTTAACATGCACAAAATCGTTTGGTTCCCCGGTCATATACCCAAGTTCTCCCTTATCTCGTGATGTCTCCTCAACAATTACCTACCAAGGATAGGCTAGCTCGATTTGGTTTGATTATAGAAACTGATTGTGTTGTGTGTGGATAGGTTTAGAATCCCGTGACCATCTCTTTACAGGTTGTTTCTTTGCTAAGGAAGTCTGGAGGACTATCCTTATGTGAGTTCGTTATGACATGCAAGTTGGATGATTGTTTGGTTGCCAACTTGAAAGGTAATCTCTCGGTGCAAATTCTGAAGCTTGCTTGGACTGGTTTCCTGTACTACATTGGGAGTGGAACTATAGGTGTTTAGGGGACATGCTCGTTCAACTGGCACAGTTGTATATAG